CTCTCTCTCTCTCTCTCTCTCTCTCTCTCTCTCTCTCTCTCTCTCTCTCTCTTACACACACACACACACACACACACACACACACACACACGCACGCACACGCACGCACACACTTTCTGTCGCTCCGTCTGTCACCAGAGCGAAGTTATCCCACAGAGAGCACCATCGCGTTCTGCTTGAGTGTGGGTGTATTTTGCTAACAGTCTGTGCTCTGCCTGGGTCTTCACATCTGTGCAGGTTATGTGTGTCTGCCCCTGTGTGTGATGTGCTTGTGCAGTGTTTTCTGGCTGTGTTTGTGCCTAAGGGCTTAGTGTGTGGCCTTCTTTCTGACCTTTGTGCTTGTTTGTTGGCTGTTGTCAGTGGTCGGGGAGTCGGTGAACATCATAGGAAAAGGAAAAGCACAAGCGAAGACCAAAGCAAAAGGCGTTTTTTTAAGAACAGTTTTTCTCTCGCCTGCGAGAAGACGGGAGATTGTGGAGGACGACCAGGTGGCCACACGGGTGAGCAACAATGCAGCTCTCATTTGATCCTTTGGTTTCCGTTCACCTTATTTTTTATTTCTCTTCTTTTGACTCTTTTCCAAATTTGAACAAAAAAGCCTCACCAGCAATGCCAGGATGATTGGGACATTTGTTGAAGTTGAATTTGTTGAAATTGTTGAATTTGTTGAATTTGTTGAAACCATACCACTACTTTCAACTTTCTGCAAATTGGGAAATTACTACCATGCCACTACTGAAGGATGCTTTTTGCAAATCAAGAGAAGGTGAGGGGAAAAAGCACAATGATTTTTTTTATTTATTTTTTTAATTAGGACCATTTCTCGATTTATGCGTGTCATCCTTGCGCAGGGGCCATGCTAATCTTCTCTCTCTGTATCGTTCCAATTTTAACGGATGTCCCGAAGGACCACAAGGAAATTTTCATTTACTCTATTCCAAAAGAATGCCATTGCAGTTGGCTTGGCTTCACATCTATCTGTCGGTCTCTCGCTGTCTCGGTCTCTCTGCCTGCCTGCTACCACCTCGTCTGCCTGCATGTCTACCTGCCTGCGTCACTGCCTCTGCAGACGAGGTGGTAACAGGCAGGCAGAGAGACCGAGAGACCGGGACGTCTGTCGATCTGTTGATCGGTTGGTCTGTCCATCCCATCCGTCAGTCGGGTGGTCGGTCGGTCAGTCCATCCATCCGTCTGTTGGCCCGTCCGACAGTGTGTCGATCCATCCGCTTGTCTGTCGATATGTCTGTTTGTCTGTCTGTCTCTCTTTCTGTCTGTCTTTCTGTCTGCCTGCCTGGCTGCCTGCGTACCTGCCTGGGTTCAACTTTCTGTGTGTCCATACGTCTGACCGTCCATCCGATCTTTCAATATCTTGTTGTGTGTGTGTCTCTCTGTCTGTGCCTGTCTGCCAGTCCGTCTGTCTGCTCACCTTCTTGCCTCCCTGCCTGATGACAACTTGCCCTTCTTGCATTCGCCGGCCAAAGACTCTTTCATGATGTGAAAAATATGTGACTCATATCAAGTAAGACATCCAGCTGCAGATCATGATGCACCTATGCCTAATGCCAATGTACTGCAAAATTTGTTTTTGCTGTGGCACATCTGTCTTTTGAGGATCTCTTAATCTGCATGTCCCCTGTGATCTGGGTACCAAATCAGCAAAAACAAGTGACTGCTGGAGGCTGTACCTAATGCCACCTATTGACTTTATACTGGAATATGTTCCTGAAGTGGCCCGTCCCTCTGCTTTGACGACAAAATGTCTATCTTAATCTCCACCTACAGATCAGTAAACCAACCTACCTAGCTCGGTATCCGTTCTTAAGGTCCGTCTGTGTGTCTCTCAGCCTCTCTGTCTGTCTGTCCAGTTGGCAGACGCCTGCCTGCCTGCCTCTCTCTCTCTCTCTCTCTCTCTCTCTCTCTCTCTCTCTCTCTCTCTCTCTCTCTCTCTCTCTCTCCACCTACCTGCCACTTCACTTTTCAATGGGACACGTATGTATGAAACGAGTTCATGGATGAAAGCAGAGTAGTCACGCCGACGGTCGACGCCCCTGGATTGGTCGGGGGCCGACCAGCCGACCGTCAGACTGGTCGGCACCTACGGGTCGGGGGTCTGCTTTTTTTTTTTTTATATAGGTCCAGAACCCCAAATAACCTCATGAACACCCCCATAGCCCCCCCCAACACCCCCATACACCCCTCCAACACCCCCATACCGCCCCCTAACACTCTCGTACCCCCCCCTTAACCCCCCTACAACCCCCCTACAACCCCCCTATAACCCCCCCTATACCCCCCCTAGAACCCCCATCACCCCCAGAAAAAATTATTGCGGATTTGCATTGCTCTCCTCAAGCTGCGCACGACCATGTAATCAGGGGAAAAAAAAAATTGCAAGGCGGGCCTACCGACATACGGTAGGTGTCGGCGGGTAGGCGCCAAAACTACCCTGGCTGAAAGCTTATTTTGACGCTCATCGGTGAGCTCTTTCCTAGACTGGTACTGATTATATTTTTCTTTTTTGAATTGCTTTTCACTGTTGACGTGTTTGTGCAAATTGGGTCCTGAGGCAGTCGGCTTCATTTTTGGGCCAAGGAGCAGGAGTCGTCGGCCCGGATGCAACGAGGAAGGGTTCTCCCAGAGGTGAGCCTGATGCTCAGCCTCACAGTCAGAGTCAACATCAACGCCGATCTTCGTGTCATTCCACGCACAAGTTAAATTCCACTTCTGCCGCAGATGCAAAGTTCAGTCCAGCTCTCAGGCCTTGGTCCCCGTGCAAAGAGTCCGTAAGGCAATCGCCGGCTGCACAATCGTCAGCGGCGCGGAGATCAGAACCTTGCTCTAAATCAGAGGTCACAGAGTTCTCTGTAGTGCGGGAAGAAAGAGCAGATACTGTAGCTGTGGTGAGTGGACGTCGAGAAGGACGAGGAGAGGCGGAACAAGAAGGACCTTGTGGTATTCCCACAAATGGCTATGAGGGTACCGCTCCTGGGACAGCTGCTGCCAGTGGGACGTTATCCTCGCTGTCGTCGGATCGAAAAAATGTTGCCTTTTCAGATTGTTGCCGCGAAGAGGGGGCAGCCAGGTTTCGACCTGACGGTTTTCAGACAAAGGACAAGAGAAATTTGCTTGACTTAGAGTTTCACCAAATGGGGGATGATAATGAAGGGCGGAGAAAGCCTAGTGAAGATGGTCGTTTACAAAATGGGGGGACGGTTGTCGAGAAAAGGGAAGCTGAGGTTCGGGATCCGATGAGAAAGTACGTCCACAAGAGCTGTCCTTCACTCACCTGCATCGACCTCGAAGGGCATGTTGAATCGAAAGTCGGGCTTGATCGTCATGGGAGCATGGATGTGGGAGTCGAGAATGAAACATTGTTGCCTTCGCTCTCAAGTCACCCGAAGAAGAGGCAATGTAACGATATCGAAAACTTTAAGTCTGAACAGGCTGAGGACTGTACACTGTCAGGGGATGCAGGAGCCCCTCCCCATCCTCCTCCTCACATGTCCTCTAATCCAACAACTCACTCCCCTGCCCCTGTGTCCTCATCTCCTACTCCCTCTTCTACTTCTATTTCCACTGCCAGTTCGGCTGTACAATCTGACGCAGTCTCCCCACAGCAACTCCAGCAAGACCATCGGCACTGCCAACAGTGTCCTGCTCAGCCACTTCCTCGTCATCCGCAAGCGATTCCTCGCCATAATAGTAATCATCCTCAAAGCTGTCCGCCTGAAGCGGGCGGATTCTGTGGTATACACGACAGGCTCTCCGTTGCTCCTCTTCCGGGTGATGCTGTTAGCTTATCGGCTGCCACCGCGCATGGGTGCTCTCAGACGGCAAAGCTGACGAGGCGCAACTCGTTACCCGCCGATCATGGAGCCGATCGATTCATGTCACCGACAACTTCTAGTGCTGCTCGAGCACGCAGTGCGGGAAGGGCGTCATCCATGAGTCCCCCTCCCACTGGCAGTAGAACCACCAGGAGAGAGAGTGTTAGAACCTATTGTACTGGTTCGGATCTTTGTGCATCCTCCAGCCCATCTCCGAGAAGACGAAGGAGTGCAACTGCAATTGCATCGGGCCAGAAGAAGCTTGCCGACCCTCGACCATCTTCATCTGGAAGGTCCATAGATCTCCGTAGAGGATCCAGCAAAATCGACGTAGCTGATCCTGTGGTTGTAAAGCACGCTGAGCCACGTTCGACATCCTGCTTCTCCAGCCCACCTCCTTGGAGACGAGATACAGGCAGTAGCATGCCATCTGGTGCAGCTTCCGCTGCTCGGTCGTCATCACCGACGATGCATCAGACGCCACGAAGGAGTCCAACTCCCGCAGCTGCTACTGCTCGGTCATCATCACCTACGACGAATCAAACGCCTCGAAGTGGAAACAGAAGCAGCGCCCTCCTGAAACGAATTCTCCCTACCTGTACTTCCCAGCTCGCCGCTGCTGTCAATACAAGTCCGGCGAGGCGTGCCCCTCCTACACCTCCTGCCCCTCCTCCTCCTCCTCCTCCTCCTCCTCCTGCTCCTCCTCTTACTCCTCCGTGCCCCTCTTCTACTGCCTATTCTAAGTTCGAGCCAGGAGCAAAAGCAAGTTCAGGATCAGGATCCGCAGCCGAAACATTCAGTTCGACAAGCGCTGGTGCAGCAGCTAGGCAGCCACGCCTGGCAGCTGCCCCTTCCTCTGTTGCCCACACCACTTCTAGCAGTAGCAGCGCTTCACTTGCTAAGCCATCTCCATCTATTCCAGGTAATACTCACCAAGCCACACAATTCTCATCGAGTGCCTCTCAACGATCTGCTCGCTCTGAGAAGATTGGCAGCAAGGCTGCTGATCCGTCAGGTACGAAGAGCATCAGCGGCAAAGGCGGCAGGCCAGCTTCTGGGCGCAGCAAGCTGCTGTTTACGGATAGCACAGGAGCATCCACCGATCAAAAAGCCAAACGGAAGCAGAGCCCCTACAAGACGACGCCCACCGAGCAAGACCCCACAGGCAACAGCAAGGTCAATAAAGGTACAGACAAGGTGGTCCCCACAAGGACAGTGGCAGCACCTCCCTCAAGGGGAGCTGAGCGCTGTGGAAGCCCTAGGCGTGCAAGTCTTAGCTCTCGATGCGCATCCCTGTTCTCCGACCAAACCAACGATCAGCTTAATGTCAGGTTTCATCTGGGAGCAAGGGAGTCTTCCACGTCAGCAAAGATGAAAAGGGAAGTAGATTTAAGTGTGACGTCAGCAAAAACCACGCCTACGATGACTAGTGCTGATGTGATCAAGGATGGAACAGTCAGAAGAGTGATGGGGCCTACAAAAGAACCGTGTGCCAACGAGCAGGAACACGGGAAAGTTGAAGATCGAACCTTCTCTTCTCCGTGTCCTATGCCTCCTTTTTGTCCTCCTCCTGCTCCTGCTCTTTCGCATCCTCCTCCTCCTCCTTCTTCGCCTACTTCTACTTCTACTTCTATTGCAGGATCGCTCATCCGTAAGGTAGGGAACCTGACCATGTCCTCAACAACATCCCAATCAATGATGGGAAAGACCATTGCACCTCGGCCGATTCCTGGCACAGACGGACAGAGGTCTGTAATAAGCAAGCCTGTAGCTGAGACAGCTGCCTCGCATTTGAGGGAAGCAGGCGGAGGAGGAGCAATGCCAGCAACAGCAGCAATTGGAGCAGTAGTGGGCAGTGTCGGTTCAAAAGCCGTGGTCCATGGTTCGACGACGCTGAACTTTGAGAAGTCCGCTCCACCAGGGGCTCATACGGGATCCATGTCAAGTAGACCCCGTCCTTTGCTGCCGTCGAAGGGGAAAGAAAGTGCATCTGATGATAAGGACAAGGAAAATATCAAGGACAAGAAGGACAGACGCAATTTACGGTCGTCGTCAACTCCTACGATGAGCAACGCTAATGATTCATCTTCGACTGTGAGGAAAACTGGTGTAGTCAACCATAACAGTGATCCTCCTGCCGCAGTGAAGAAAGTAGTCGGTGGGAATGTTTTTGACCGGCTGGCTGCGTCTCCGACGGCGCAATCCCGCGCACGCGAACGGACTGTCTTTCATGAGAAGGAGCACACGTCAACCTCAACCGCCGGAATACCAGCACGGTTGTTTAGTCGATCTATCGGTCTGGCTACGGTCTCGGGAGGGGGGGCGACCACCACGACAGGTGAGGTGGCAAAGGCTCACCATAGCCCAGGGACGGGGAAACCCCAGCAGCAGCAGCGATTCAGCAGCCCTCCGTCTGTGAGGGTGAAAGGTGAGGCTGGTGGCATACAGCAAGCGACCGCAGCCGGAAAGTTAGGCTCTGGTGGGAAATCGGAACAAGCGAGTTTGAAAAAGAGCCGTGAGAGTGGGGCGAAAGACTCAGGTTCCCGAAAATTCCGGTCTCTCTCGCCGCCTCCAAAGGGTCGCAGACTCATGCCCTCCAACCCCACCTCTCTTGGCAGCAACGGCGCTGGTCTTTCTGCTACCGCAGGCCGTGGTTGGCTTGCGAAGGACCATGGTGTCCCTTTATCTTCTTTTACATCTGTCTCATCACGATCCTCTCGGCCTCACAGTTTGCATACACCCACCACATATTCCTCCTCGAAAGCAGGAGGAGGAGGAGGAGGAGGAGGAGGAGGAGGGGACGTTCCCGGCAGGGGAACAGCCGAGGCAGGGATGAGCAAGGTGGTCCATGGTCTACTGGCCGGAGCAGCGGCAGCGGTGGATGACAGTCTGGGATCTACAGCCACCGAGGATCGGTCGATCTCTACTCCCTCTTCCAGGCCCAGTTCCAGCTCAACTTGCAGTGCTGTCTCAAAGGCAAGGAGTGCCGACATGGATGCCGTAGAGAAGAAACAGGGGGCAGAGTGCCCCTCTTTCCTCTTCTCTGGCTCGGGGGTGGGAGGAGGAAGGCTAGCGGTCCCCCAGGGTGGAGGTGCGGCAGGCGTGGACACGCCACCACAGGCGACAGGCAGGAGACGAAACAGCTACGAGAAGGGCAACAAAGCTCCTCCTCCTGCACAGGACGACCATGGCCATGTGCTTCCTTCCGAGGCCAGAGCAAGTGCTCAACAAGACGCCATCTCAATGGTGCGAGAGAGCTGCACAGATGAGCAGCAAGCAACACTCGCAAGTGAGAGTAAAGTCAGCAGCCTAGGAGGAGCCGGAGCAGAAGTAACCGGAAGGGACAATGGGGCTGCGGTGCAAATAGAACTGGGAGCTTTGGTTGCTGCTCCTGGCAGATGGCAGGACCGCACTTGTTCTTCAGGAATCAACGACTCGTTTAAACCCAAGGGTTCGCCTGGTTCGGACCTGGACCCCTTTTTGGTTCCGATACTTGATGGTCTTATTGACGGGTTGAAGGCTGTGAAGTCCACAGAGTCCGATCCCATGTCCTGGATAAGCGGCAGTGTCGAGATTGCGATGAACGTTGACGTTGCCACTCTGGAGAAGATTGCAGAGCCGGTGGGCAGTGGAGGTGGAGACAAGTCGGCGGGCTGCTATGGACAACAGTCAGGTAAAAAGCTGGGGTCTTCCGAAGAAGATGTGGCACTGCATGAGAGAAAGGAGCACACAAGTGGCGATGCGTGTAACGGAGTCGACGCTGGTTCGCAAACGTCGTCAGGAAGCGCACTTGCTGCTGGCAGAGAAGAGGATCATGGCGCTGACGGAAAGAGTCAAAGCAATAACAGGAAATCAGAACCTACCGCCTCTGGGACGCAAGAACAGAATGTGTTGTCGAAATCCCAAAACACTGAGGTACGTCATCTTCCCCTTTTTTATTGTGGCCCCTTCAATGAAAATTTGGAGCCTTTGCTGCATTTCTCAAAATTTATGCATGTCATCCTTGCTCAGGGGCCTTTTTTTTTTTTTTTTGGTTGAGCCGTTCTAGCCTTCTTTTTCGGTGTTGTTCCAAAAATTGAATTTGAACAGATGTCCAGAAGATTGACTGACAAGTGGGAAAACTCGACGCAATCATCTTAGAAATGACAAAGTCACGTATCTCAGTACAAAAAGAACAGCAAGATAATGACCCAGGTATTTTAAATTTTTAATTGCACACCATAACACCCAGTTATTTTAGTTGCACCTTGTCCAATTTTCAGTCTAGGTGCTGCAATAATGACCCGGGGATTCTTTTTGGGTGGATTCCGAGACGCTACGCAAAGAATGACTCCCCGTGGAAAACGTATTGTGCTATGTTGTTGCCATTAAATAGCACGAACCAGGCAAAGAGTTAAAAGTTAAAACTTCAAAATTTAAACTTGGGCGGTGCAGATTCCACCCTTGTGTGGCTCGTAAATCGAGAGAAAAGGGAGGACTGGGACACAAAAGGAAACATTGTCAAATGCTTCTTTTCATTTTTATGAAAATTTGAAAAAAAAAAAAATCCTCCTATTCCTGTGCCTGCTATATGTACTTCAATTTTCAACTGACAACTGCTGCTTCAGATTTTTTCTGTGTTAGTCCCCGGGCGGCCCGGCTGGGGGAAGGCCGCCCGGGTACCCTCCCGGGCGGCCTGGACCGGGCAGGGATTTTTTTTTTTTTCCCCCCTTCAGATCTTCCTACCGTTTGACGGGTTTGTTGCGGGTATTACTACCACTTCTTCTGTGCGTACAATGTGGCAGAGTGTGCAACTGCACTTTCACTCTGGGTGACAGATTAGCATGGCCCCTGCGCCAGTAGGGCTGTTGTTACCTCTGCGATCATAACGAGTAGTGCTACTTGCAATGACCGTAACAACTGCAACCATGGCGAGTTGATGACCCGGGCCCGCCTCCAAAAGGACACTCCACAGTGGGTGAGACACACACACACACAGAAACAGAAGGAGAGAGAGTGTGTACAGACAGACAGACAGACAGAGACAGAGACAGAGACGGAGACGGAGACGGAGACGGAGACGGAGACGGAGACGGAGACGGAGACGGAGACGGAGACGGAGACAGAGAGGGTGTACCCTTCTGGGCTCACCTTGGCCAGGGCGGGGGGGGATCGACTTGTAATAATATTTTGGAAAGTACAAAGACATGCGTCTTGTAGCAATCAGTACCGCTTCCCTCCAACACCTAATCCATACCTTCTCTTTTTTTCTTTTTTTCTTTCTTTAACCTTAGCTTCTTCCCCTCGCGATTTCGATGTTTGTCTTCCTGTTGGTCTGTTCTTGTGTGCCCTTTCTTGCCTCCTCCCATTCCTCCCCTTCCTCCCCTTCCTCCTCTTCCTCCTCCTCCTCCTCCCATTCCTCCCATTCCTCCTCCTCCTCCTCCTTCTCCTCCTTCTCCTCCCCTTCCTCCTCTTCCTCCTCCTTCCCCTTCCTCCTACTTCTACTTCTACTTCTCCTGCTCCTCTCCCCTTCCTCCCCTTCCTCCTCTTCCTCCTCCTTCTCCTCCCATTCTTCCCATTCCTCCCCTTCCTCCTCTTCCTCCTCCTTTCCCTTCCTCCTACTTCTACTTCTACTTCTACTTCTCCTGCTGCTTCTCCTGCTCCTTCTCCTTCTCCTTCTCCTTCTTCTCCTACGTTATACTGAGGGACTTGAGATAACCATGTTGAAAGAATGCCTTCTACTTCTCCTTCTTCTCCTACATTATACTGAGGGACTTGAGGTAACCATGTTGAAGGAACGCGGCAGAATGACTCCATAACTTTGGGAGGAGTGCTTTTCTTTGCTAAAACAGACGAAAGTGGCACTTAAAGAGGGGGTGGTGACTGTCGCTCTGTTTGATTTTTGTGACCACGTTTCAGTTTCAGCGCCCTGTGATTTCAATTCCGAGTGGAGCTGCCCAAGATGAGCTGAGAGGTTGGACTTCTCATGGCAAGTGGCAAGCCTCGTCAGACAGTTTGTCGCGCACCCTCCAAACGGACGAGCGAAGCCCTGTCTCTACCTTTAATTTCCCTAGGCTGGCAGAGGATGGCGACGCTGCTGAAGGCAACACCCCTCACAGCAACGTACCGGAGGCAATACAGACCGCCGCCGTCTCGCGGTTGGAAGGTAACTCCTTTGCTTTTTTTTTTCTGGTCTTCACAAAGGCGGACCCTTTTCTTTCTTTCTTTCTTTCTTTTTTTGGGGGGGTG